AGTAACTAACGGCTGGTGGTGCTCTAAACAGCTTGAATGCTCGCAAAATGTGTCTAGATGTACAATTGGCAAAATTGTAATTTGTACTGAGCGTCCACCCAGGGTCAAAAGGGTTGCGCGACTTAAACCGAGGTTTTTTGCCAGCGTAACTGTATCCTCACAGTGATGGAGGTTTGGCTGGTCACCGAGGTGTGGCTTGGCAATCACAGGACTTCATTTTGTTTTTCCTGACTGTTACAGTTTCTGTGGAAGAAGTCAGGAATGTCGGTGCAACCTCAGGCATCAGGGAAACTTTGCCTGTGACAAGAAGAAATAGTACGTTACAGATCAGTGCTGTGGTTCTGAGATGCAAGGAGATAATTTTAGATGAAACCTATCGGTGCTGGAAGGGGTAATACCTGGGGAAAAGCAAGTATATTTAGTGTGAAAGCGTTCAGACAGGCTCATCAAGATGATACTTGGCAAAGATTATGGAATAATTTACAACTGCCTACGAAAGCAAATTTTTCTCTTTAGACAGTATCTATGTCTGTATTTTTATTGATCTTAATGGAGTGGCCACCTTGCTAGGAGAGATGTTGCTCATTGCATCAAAGTCTCATCTTTCAGGTGACAGAAGCTCAAATCCATGAATCTTCAGCGTGCCCTGACTGTCAGAAGTTGGAAGCAGAGCTAGCCAAGGTTACCTTTCTCAGAAGAAGGAAGGTTCTAATGGAAAATGCTCTAATCCAAGAGAGACTGGAAGAACAGATTTACTCCCGAGTAAGCAAACGGTGTTTAAAAAAGTAGAGTTGTGGTACATTTTATACCTACTGTAACTGAAGAATGCGTAAGCCAGATTTCCCTCTGATTTATGGCAATGAGATCAGATTGACCTGAGTGCAGTGCAAGTCAAAACAGGCTTTGGCTCCATATCATGAATAAAATGCTTGGGACTAATGTACTGATCAAGTCATTTGAGCTTGCCCGATTTGTATAAGCGGAAGGTCTTTCCCAGGATGTCCTTCTCCTCCTTAGGGAAGAAACCTGCTTTATGGGGCAGATCACTGGCCACATCGCTCAACAAAGTTTTTAAAGAGGATGCTTTAAAAATCCAGCAGAACTGTGCTGATGAGTGCTGCCTATCGAGTTGCTTTAGGGGGGGGACTGGATGTAGCTGCCAGTGGTAGGCCTGTGATACAGGACATGAGACGTGGCAGGAATACAAACGCAAGTAATTTCCACGTTTCCTTTTTATTTCAGGATGTGCTTACGCTTCTAGGAGAAGCACTCAGAAGCTTTCCCAAACCTTCAGAGGATCCCAGGAACTTATGGCAAAAGCTGAAAGGTCAGAAAATGTAAGACCCAAAAGTAGTAAACGTAACTGAAGGACATAAAGAACTGGGAGAGTCTTCTGCGGGCAGTCACGTGCTGAATGCCAACGATTGTGGATAGAACCTGGTTTTGTCAGTGATGAATTGGGTGGTGGTTTAATATTCTTGCAGGTGGAAGCAGATATGCCCAGCATGCTGGCGCCTGATTCGACTCTTCAATCTTCCTAAATGCAAATGTTGCAATATATGGTGATCCAACTATATACGTTTTTCAAATTACAGAAGCCAACACTTTCTATTATTAATCTGACAAGTAATAAGTGTTGTGTTTTGTGGGATTGCTGGTGGGGTTTCAGAGCGGCTCACAGCTGCTTCCATCGACGAGAAAAATAAATGATTTCTTTTTTTCGGGGCAGAGAGGTGTAATTACTGGATTTCAGCTCAATCTTTGCCCACTGTCTCATGTTCAATTGAAAGCGAGAACCCCAGGTGGAGGAGAAAAAGAAGGTTGCAAAGTAACTATAGAAAGGAGGAAAATGAAATGGGGTATTTATAGAACTGAAATAATGAGACTATAACGGAAATTAATCAGCAAGACTGTGGATGCCAACAGGACAAGAAATGATAATAAATTAATCATAGAACCTGTATGGGATAGGTGTCTAGGAAGAGAAAAAACAACCTAGATTAAAATTGGAGTAAGATGCCAAATAATATTTTTGACCATTTTTTGAATATACTTTGGAATTTGTTGTCATTTTCTGTGATTTTTTTCGAGATGGCAAAGTCAGTGTCTGCCAAAGTGTACATCTGGGTGAAAGACTGGTACTCAACACATGGAATTTGTTGTCATTTTCTGTGATTTTTTTTCAAGATGGCAAAGTCAGTGTCTGCCAAAGAATATATCTGGGTGAAAGACTGGTACTCAACACCTTGCTGAATAAAATGGCTTTATGCTGGGGATCTCGGTGGGTTAGACAGTGAAATCATCTTCGCTGTAGCCTCAAAAGGTGCCTGCTGAGCTGTGGGCACCAGTGCAGCCCACCTTTCTGGTTACTGCTGTCGGCCAGAGCTCGTTGCGCTGCTCTTGCAGCGACCTTGCGGCCGTTGGACTTGTGTGAGTCACGAAGTTACTGTCTCTCATCAGTTGCCAGGCTTCTGCGTTTAGATCTCTGAAGGCTGTGGAAGGAAGATCCTTATCTAGGAACACTTACTGAATTTTTGTTAGGAAGCAAATGGGATTAAATCTTACTGTTGCACTTTATTTTCCCGTTTTAGGACAAGAATATGTATTGTTGAAGTTGGTTTTGTGTTTTATACCCATGTAATTTTCTTTTGTATGCTCTATATTGTTTATAAGAGTGCTTGAGGGCTGTCGAGCCTCTTGTTTTCACTTCCCACAAGTCAATGGAAAACCTGAGAAGAAACGCTCGGATGTAGTTGTAGCCAGGCCCACTGACATTTGGTGCTTAAAAACCTGCCTTGAAGGATTTCACTGGGAATTGATCCGAAGTAGGTCAAGCCCCCAGTGAAAACATAATGCAGCCCGAAGTTGCTCAAAGTAGTTGTCCTCGCTGCTTCGCTGGCAGTTTGGTCTGGTTCCTTGTCAACAGCAGGTTTAATAGTCCGTCGAAAATATTCCCCTAAGCTTGGCTTTAGCTTTTGAATCGTGGCTGCAGATTACATAGCTCCCTGTATAACGAGGAAACTACTGCTTGTTTCTTTCCATTACTCTGTAATCCTTAGAAACGTTTAAATCCCTTAAATCTCCTACCTTCCCATCTCACAAACCTTTTCTTTTTAGCTCCTCTGTCTCTGTTCCTTGTTTGCTTTGGGCTGCACTCCCTGTTCCTCTCGAGCCTTTCCAAGTCTCCAGCAACCTGCCTCGCGCTAGGGAAGGGACACCCGTTGTTCCCTGTGAAGTCTCATGAGGGCTGTCAGACAGAGAAGTGGTGAGCAGGAACGGAATCCTTTGAAAATGCAATTTGGTTGTTATTGCCAATGAACGCAGCTTTCAGCCCTGAGAAAAAACACAGAAAGTGAGTTCCAGGACTCTAAATATAGATTGATTATAAGTGAAAGAAGGCATTTTGATGTGTTTGCTTTCAGTGCATAGGTGCTTTATAGAAATACTGAAATACTTCTTCGCAACTGTTGTCAAGCCTTTGTGTAAATACATTGAACTATGAGCTATTTGGGTTAGGCATCTGACAATATTTGTCTGTAAAACAGTCTTCATACTGGCACAGCACAGTGGCTGTACAGTTGTGGTTTGTTGGCATAAATGTTTCAAAGACAATTCAGGTAGCTCCTCTGAAAAATCAAAGCGTGTTTTGCTGATGTCTGCTGCCTGCGTTTTCCTGCTGCTCACTACAGTTCTTTCGTTCCTTTTTTATCAATAATGACTTTGAGATCTGAATGTTTGTCTGCTGCTTTCTTAGAGCAGCTATTAGGGATGGACAATTGAATGAATTATCTGAGTCTCTGAATAATTTATTTTATAATCCTGCAAACTAGAGATCCAAAAATTCTGATATGGAGGATGTAGGAAAAAAAAAAGTAGATTGTGTCTCTTCTTTTTTCCCCTCACAGGAGCTTCCCCCCTCCCTTTCCTCAGCAGCAGATTTTTCTTTTGGTCCAAAGAAACACTCTTAAACTATGATCAAGAAATATTTATTCATCTGCTCCCTTGTTTGTGCTTGCTGAGGCATAAGAGGAGCGAGATGGATCAAGGGTGATTCAGATGGTGAGCACCTGTAGTACTGAAACAAATCAATCTGCCTGTTAAAAGTACTTTGGAGCTTTTTCCTTCTAGCTTTTGTGCTGTGCATAGTTGCATTATTTAATCTTCTGAATAATTTGTTATGTAGTGGAGTTTATTGCTCTGAACTTTGTGTGCAAATACGGCAGGGTTTTCCTATATATGTGGGTTTGTGTCCTGTGTGTGCTGATGACCAGTTTTGTGATGTTACACTTTATCACTGACTCTTTGGATAAAGTGATGTTTCTCAAATTATCATTAAAATCAGTTTCCTGGGGACTGCAGCAATGTCATTTTCATTTGCCCTGGCTTTCTCTATAAGAAAGAATTAACCTGGCTTCCAGGCTCTGTCATTCCTCCGTCTTGTTTCTAACCATCTGCTGGGCCGTGGGACTTTGTATTCGTTTCTCCTCCAGGATAAACTTCCATCTCATTCCTAATAGGCACATGTTGCAATGGGAATGAAGTTTTAGTGCAATTAACTTGCCTGGGTACGATCTAGGACCAAAGATAAACGTGTTTGAACACTGATTTGCAGCCACTTGTCACACATGTAGTCACAGAATGGTGGAGGTTGGAAGGGACCTCTGGAGGTCCAACCCCTTGCTCGAGCAGGGTCACCTAGAGCCAGGTGGGACCTGGTCCCACTGGTCCAGTAGTCCTTACATGGATCTCGAATCTTTTCTCTGAAGCCATACTAAAGACTGAAATGCTTCGGGCCCCCACGGGGCCACTGCCTGTTCATAAATCCATCTCCCAGTCTTGGTTTTGTTGTGTGGTGAGGGTCAGTTACCTTTTTTTTTCATTGTTTTGTTTTGTTGTTGTTTTGTTGTTTTTTTTTTTACCATAGCCAGTTTGATCAGCTTCCAAGAAGAGGAGCTGAACCTGTTTATTTATATTGGGGACATGATAAAAATTCTAAACTGGTGGTGCTGAGGACACGGGTTTGCTGCTGGAAGGGATCATGTTCCCCTGCGAAATTGTTAGCTGACACAGCACCCAGGGTCTTCTTCAGTAAAAACCTGAACTGTAGCTTTCAGTGCAGTTATTCCAAATCGTACATCCATACTCCTGCAAGAGCTGGAGTGCTTCCAGCTATGTATTTTTAAAGCGTTTTGGAATACACTTGCATTCTTCACATTGTAATTTTATTACCAGAGAATGACTATTTATTGTCTCCGTGCAGTAAGAGCTAACCTAGACACTACGTGCAAATCGTTACTGCCTGCAACAGAGTTGGGATTCTAAATGCCACTGTGCTTAAAAAATACTTTTTTTAATCTTATGGATACGTGTATTAGTCTTAGGAATACTACGTTGGCATTGGTTTTATGCCCCTTAGCTGTTCCTTTTGCCTCCACAAGTGATTCTGAAGATGTTTGCCTGCGCTGGCAGCAGCATGGTGTGTCTGGGAGGAGGCTGGGAGATGAGGGGGAGCCTGTACCTTCTGTCAGTGAGGTACTCGGTCCTCTGTCTTTCAGATTACTTACAGGATTGATCAGGGTACCTTAAAAAAAACCCACAAACCAACCAACCAAACAAAACCAAAACAAACAAAACCCACCAACAACAAAAAAAAACAACCAAAACATTTTCCAGCTTCTGGGCATGGATAGTCACTGCTTATTTATTCATTTCTTTATTTTGTAATAAAATAGTACTGTTTGTTCTCACATAGACTGGTGTGTATGATCCATAAATACGTTTGTAAAATATATCTGTAGCATGAAACAGAATCCTTTAGAATATTCCGTGAAAATTCATATTTTTAGTTGATAGCACTTTAAGAACATTTACATCGTTCATCTTGACATTTTTAAATAGAACATTTTTTGCCTACAGAAGTAAGTTTACAGCATCGTCACAGTATTATAGCTTGTTTAAAAATACATACAGCATTAATGGTAATTGCAAGCCAGCTATATACTTGAGCAGGGTTTTTGTTTGTGATTGCACATGTTTTCTACTTTTTTAAAACAAAACAATTGCGTATATTAATGTTACATCCATCACTTTGTTAGAAAATATTACTTATATATGCTACTCACAATAGATCTGTCATTTTTCTGTGACATAATATTACAGGCTATGAAAATAGAAACACACCCTTGTATGGTTGGTTTAAAAATAATTAACAAGCCTCGTTAAAAAAGGGCGTTAGGCTTGCTCTTTCCTTGGGAAGTTGTCGAATGTCCTTAATCCACTTGTGGCTGGAATGCCACTAGCACCCTTGGGCACTGAACCTTAGGTGAGGGAGCTCCTG